ATTGGCACTTGTTTTGAAAAGAATAGAAGTTAACAATGTACTACTAATGTATGTTTTCAAATGTGTAAAATTAACGGCATGTTGATATGTTTCTTATATACAAATGTGAACTGTTAGTTTTAAATGTTAAGAAATACCGTGATATTGTAAAAGTGAATGTTAAAATTTTTTTTGTTCGTGTGACTGTAAAGACTAAATTATGGTGAATATGTGTTAAAGGTTGAATGATGTAGTTAGGCTCTCTGACGCTACACTTCAGAGTTAGACACTTTCAGAATAGTACCTCAGGGTTTAGAGTTGAAATTAGGGTGTGTCACGAGGTCTTGGCATGTTGAATTTTAACACGTTAGTGTTTTGATTGTAGGAGGAAGTGTGGAACACGTAGACAGAAACACATTCGTGTTTTGGTGTTCTTTTACAACACATGTCAGAGAGCACGGGGAGAGAGATAATTAAAATAGTCATGAATGAAATAAGAATGTTAAGAGAAATATAATTATACATGTTACTTGCCATTTCATTGTTGTAACATTTTATTAAACTAGTTTTCCTTCCAGATCTCTGGAAGGAACCAGATTTGAATAAGCTCCTGTTTGGATGCAGTACAGATGAAAAAAAATTGTTTATCCTGGGAGCTGCTATTGTAAAAACAAATTTCTTTCTTTTAAATTTCTAGTTTTCTAGCGAAAAATATTTGTAAAAGATTGGCCTCGCGTTAGATTCTAGAGCTAAAAGTTTTCAACAAGGTCGTTTTAGACCTCAGTTTCAAACTAATTAACTCTGGCGGGAAGTATGTAAGGATCTTAAGTTTTACTAACGTTTATTTTACTTTAAATCTTTACTATCACTTCTTATTTTCTACCTCCGGCCAGAATTATAAGCGTTAAGGTTTTTATGCAAAGTTTGTCTGGCGAACGCCAAGTATTTAAGTTGTGGCTTTTTGCCAAGCGAGAGAGAGGAAGCAGTGAGTCGAAGCAGGCCGCTTACCTTAGAAGTTACGCAGTTGCTGGTTGCCTTCCAGGCCAGAGGTTTTAATCCTCTTGATAAATTTTAAACGTATTGTAGTGTTCACAGTTCTCTGTACTACATACGCTTCCTGTTAATATAAGGCCAATCTTCCACGTTTATTATTTTAAAGTTAAATTAGAGTTTAGTTCTATTTTTTATATTTTACGTTAGACCCCAAGTAGCGGGTCTGTGTATTCCGAAGTACGGAAGTCATTGTAAATAGAGAAAAATAAAGGGTTTTGTATACCCTTCTTGTGTATCCTGTCTACTTCCCACAATTAGTAAACATAGCTTTAGTAAGCTCTCTGTTCCGAGTCAGGTCCTTGCATGTTCCCGAAGAAGGTAAGAAGGAACATTGACCCTGATAGTGTGTGTAAACAGTATATACATACTATACATACATACGTACATCTATATATAATTGTAATTAAAAGGGAATACTCCTATATACCTATCTATCTCTATATATTATAATTAAGGGGGAATACTCCTATTATATTTATTATCATCCACTTACCAGCTTAAAAGTTCCTTACCCGGCCTTTATTTTCGTAATTGTTGGTCGTAGTGATATACTTCCAACTGTAGAAGTGTTTTAATTAACGAAAATATTCACGCTTGGGCAAAATCAAATTAAAAAAAAAATAATTTTCGACAAATAACAAAATCTACCTTTTAATTCTATCTCCCGGTTCCCATACTTATATTTGGGAGAGTTTTATGCTTGCTATGAAAACATAAAATTATAAATTGACTCCTGTACGACAAAAATTGATCGGAATATTCAATTTAAAAATTTGCGATTTTTGATGTCATTTTCAACCTGCCTTAAGAGATCCATTAATTAAGTTAGAATAATTCCAGGAAATAAGTTTACATGAAATGCAGCAACGATGTTTATAACCGTACAAATTTATGGCCGTACTAAGTTGCTAGACAGCTCGTGGCTAACTTTTGGCCGGATCTGTAGACTTATTATGAATTAACATTATTATGAATAAACATCAACCGGTTTTAGCGGAGCTGATGAGCGGGCAAGCAAGCCACGTTGTGTTCACATTATATTTATTTTTATTATTGCTGTTGTTGTACATAAACTGATCATCAAAAAGTTGAATAAGTCCTTCAGCTTTGAGGGAACAACGAAATTTCTTTATGTAACGTTTAAGAATTTACTTTTGATGGAATAAATAGAATCAATTCAAACTGTTAAATGTTCATCTAAAGTGTCTTTTCCTCACTAGAGGGCGCTAGAAGTTCCATTAGTGAGAGAAATTAAAACCTTGTGTTTTTTTATTTTCTTTTTTGTAAACAGTACATAGTTCGGTTTCGAATCCGTGTGATGGACGGATAAATTGTTTCGTACAGCCATAAAACGAAAAGAGAGGCTGTACAAGAAAATGTATTTAAATCTTAATTTTTTCCTTTTGAATGTTTTATGTAAATAAATTTTGATGTCAAGAAAAATTCAATTGTGGTTTTTCTGTAAAGCAGATTGCCAGCTGAAACATCACGTCAGATTTAACAATGCATCAGAACAGGTAAATGAATTTTCTTCTCGTTTTTTAAATCAATATAAATAGAACCTGCGTACGTCAGTGGATTCTAACAACTTCGATCAACAGTAGTTGATTAATTACGCAATATAATAAAGTTTTGGCGCCCGCCATCAGGACGTTTTGTCCTAAAGAAGAACTAGTTATTTATGCTTTCGAAAACAGAAGTACTTGAAATATGTTTATTTTCTGAAGATGCATTTTGTTGAATGAAAGCATGTTTATATTTAAGTTGAATAGAAATAGATATTTAGTATTTTCAGCTTAAAATATATATTATAAGTTTTATGTTCTTTAATAAAAGTAATTTCAACGTAATACAAATTTATGTGTAAGATTCCAATAAAGGATTGAGGAAATAAGATTACGTTAAAAGGATTACTTTAAAATTTAAGATAAAATATTTGAGTAGAGTTTAAAGTAAAAATGAATGTTGGTATGATAAAGGAAAAACGTGCAACGGCACGCAATGCTTTCACTAGAACGGTTAAGGTTCTAAAGAACGAAATTAGTAAAAATGCTCAAGTAGATAAAGCTGTATTAAAAGATAAAGTTGTGAAGTTACAAACGATAACTGCTGATTTAAAATCTTATGATTCAGAGGTACTAGATTTATTAATTAAAGGCAGTGCCACTGAAGATGGTTTAGAAACCGAAGTTACAAGCTGTGAGGAATATTCCGATGAATTCATCACAATTGAAAGAAAAGTTAGTGAATTACCAAATGTAAACAAAGTTCCAAATGACGCAGTTTTTAGTAATTCTGATGTCAGTAGTAACTCTAAAGTTAAACGGTATAAATTACCTAAATTGAATATAAAACCTTTTGATTCTCAGTTAATTAATTATTTGCCATTTTGGGCACAGTTTAAGAAGATACATGAAGATAAAGAATTAGATGATTGTGATAAGTTTCAATATTTGCTACAAGCTGTTGAACCTGGAACTCGTGCTAGGCATTTATTAGAAAGTTACCCGATAACTTCAGAAAATTATTCAAAAGCTTTGAGAGCTTTTTAAGACCGTTATGGGGACAAAGATATTCTTATCGAAGTGTATGTCAGGGAATTTTTGAAATAATTTACAGCAAATATTCAAGCTAAGGGTAAAGACAGATTATCATTGTGTGACTTATTTACCAAGGTAGAAGCACATTTAAGGTCTTTAGAATCCATGGGTCTTGATATAGAAAGTAATTCAGCCTGGCTATACCCCATGATAGAATCCTGCTTACCTTATGATATTTTGCGAGCATGGTAGAGATGCAGTATTAGGGGAAAGGAAGATTCTGATAGTGAAGTGAGTTTTCCGAAGTCGAGTTTAGCGTTGTTAATGAACTTTTTGAAGAGGGAGGTAGCGGGTGAAGAAAGATTACAGTTAGCCAGGGCAGGCTTTGAAAGTATTATCCCAAAAGAGAGAGTAAAAGAGAAAATACTGAAAAGGGATAACAAGTACCCTACTGCAGCTGGTTTATTCGCTGCTAAAGAAATGTCGTGTTTGTTCTGTGGTAAGTCGCATGAAAGTAAGGACTACGTAGTCGCCAGATCGTTCTCTCTGGAAGAAAAAATAAAGTCAGGGAAAAGAACTGTTGTCTGAAATGTTTACGCTTTGGCCACCGTGCCAAAATGTGTAAAGTTTTTGTACGCTGTCATGCCTGCTCAAAACCTCATACAGAGCTTTTCTGTCCTGAGATAGGTAAAACGAAAGAAATTAGTGATCAAAGTAAACCCCTAACGAATATCCAGAACACACTTGCAAATCAGCAGTGTTCAAAAGAAGTAGCTCTCATGTCACTAGAAATACTAATTAAGGGTAATAAGAAAATTAAGAAGGTTAGGGCACTATTGGACAGTGGGTCCCAAAGGAGTTATATTTTAAAGAGCACCGCGAAAGAACTTGGTCTTAAGCCTCTCGCTACAGCAGCTATTACCCACACGGTATTTGGAGGTGCAGAAATAGAAGCTAAACCTCACAGTAAATATAAAATTAAATTAAGTGCACCGGGTAATGGTTACAAATCAGTTATCACAACCGAATTCCTTGACCAAGAAAAGATATGTGGGAACATTCCACGCATTCCAAAGGAGTCTGTTCTAGAAGAGCTTAAGAAACATAGATTATGGATGTCAGATATTGGTACTGGGTGTCCTGAAATAGAAATTTTAATTGGCAGTGATGTTTATGGCCAACCCTAAACAGGACGAATCAAACAGCTGAACAACGGTCTAACGGCAATTCAGACAAAACTTGGATGGACAATTTGCGGTGAGTTAGAGAATCCGTCCCAAGGTTACTTGAATAGTGGTACAGCTAAACGTTGATGACCTAATTTATCTCTGAGAGAACTTAGCATTCCAGATTTATGGCGGCTAGAAACAATAGGAATTAATAATCCCGCTGAAACGTCATCTAAGAAGGAAGTAGAAGAGCTAGCCCATGATTTGTTTCTCAAAGAACTTACGAGAAGTGAAGACGGGCCGTTACCATGTTGGTCTTCCATGGACTTGTATTAACCCAAACATTCCTTCAAATAGAAATGAAGCAGAAAGAAGGTTGTTTAGCACTACAAGAAGACTGAAGAAGTTAAGTAAATTTGAAGATTATGACCTAGTCTTTAAAGAATGGCAAAAAGAGAATGTCATACAGGAAGTCTCAAAAAGGGAACTAGAAGAAGTAGGAGGCCATTACTTGTGTCACCATCCAGTTATTAAGCCAGAGAGTGCTACTACGTCTATCAGACTAGTGTTTGACGCCTCGTGCAAAGTTGGAAGAGCACCATCCCTAAATGACTGTCTCTTCAAAGGACCAAATTTGATAAAAGAAATTCCCGCTATATTATTGAGATTCCGAGAAAAGGTTATTGCTGTTGTATCTGACATCAGAAGAGCCTTTCTCCAAATTGAAGGAAGAAGATCGCCAATTTTTGAGATTTTTATGGTGGGAGAAGGCAAATAAAATTGTCTATCAACATAACAGAGTTTTATTTGGAGCTACTTTGTAGCCCTTTTTTACTCAGCGCGGTTATAAGATACCATTTGAACAAGTATCCAAAACAACTCAAAACAGTTACTGACAAACTGTTGAAGTTCTTCTATATTGACAACTGCGTAACCTCCGTAGATAGCGCATCCGAAATAGAAGAATTTATCTCAAAGTCAACTGAAATTATGTCTGAAGCTAAGAATGGGTTTGAGATTATGGCAGTTCGGTCCGGTAGAAGAAATAGAAAAGTTGTCCAACTGAGAAAAGACGTTTGTTTAAAGAAGAGCTTACAACTCTCAGTTTCGGTTTTGGGATTAAATGGGATAGAAAGGAGGATTGCTTTAATGATCTGCAATGAAGTTGACGCTGAAGTAGAAAATCCTACTAAACGGATGATCTTGTCTATAACACAAGGTATTTACAATCCCATCGGTTTTCTCATCCCAGTATTGTTGCCAGCCAAGATAATAATTCAGGAGGCCTGGTCAGCTAAGTCAGAATGGGATTCCCCGCTTCCAGAAAAGATTCAAAAGGACTTTCAGAAATGGTATAGTGAATTGAAACAATTATCTAACTTAAAGGTAAATAGACGTATAGGTTACGGAAATAAAGAAAAATGGTCTAGACATGTTTTTTGCGATGCAAGTCAGAATGCATATGCAACAGTAATTTTCCTGCGCTGTGAAGATAGTAATAGGATTTCGGTACAGCTTCTAGGAGCAAAATCTCGACTTGCGCCAAAAAAGGACTTTGACAATCCCGCGTCTAGAACTTCTTGCTTGTGTTTTGGGAGCCAGATTAGCAAACTATATTCGTGAGGCTCTGAGATGTCCCTACAATACCAGTTTATTACTGGACGGACTCTTCAACAGTTATAGCATGGATACGAAGAAATGACCAATGGGGTACTTTTGTGGGTAACAGAATCAGAGAAATATGCAAACTCACAGAATCATACCAATGGTATCTTGTCCCAGGTAATCTAAATCCGGCGGACCTGCCATCTCGTGGTTGTAGCCCAAGACATCTTATCGAGACGAGATGGTGGGAGGGACCAAAATGGTTAAAAGACGAAGAAAATAATTGGCCCAAATCGGAACAGGTTCCTAATGAAGATTTAGTTATGTCAGAAAGAAAGAAAACTGCAATATCAATATTTACCTGTGCAAAAGTAGATCAATTCATAAATTATGAGAGAGTTTCGAAATTTTGCAGATTTGTAAATATTATTTTTTGGATGAAAAGATTCATATCCAAATGTAGAAATAGAAATTATTTTTTCTCCGTCTGAGCTCTCGATCGAAGAAAAGAAAGAGGCAGAGAAGTTCCTTTGGTCAAGAATTGAGTTAGAAAATTTTGGTGATGTCTCAGGTTCTGTCAAAGGTCTTGTTGTTGTGAAAGATCAAAATAACATAATACGAGTGAAAACCAAGTTGTTAGAACGCGATGACGAATTTTCATTCAAATATCCAATTCTGTTGCCATCAAAACATCACGTAGTAAATTGTTTAATACGAAACTGCCATTTAAAGAACTGCCATACTGGTCTCCAGACTGTTGGTTCCATTCTGCAAGAAAATTATTGGATTATTTCTGCTAAGTGGCTCATTCGCAGTGTAAAAATCTTCTTCTAAGAACACTTGGTAGATCATCACTCAATTTTGAAGACCTTTCAACGGTATTATGTGAAGTTGAAGCTGTAATGAATGATCGACCTCTTACATATATTTCAGAAGAATCTGACAAATTTATTCCTTTGACTCCATCATCTTTTATTCAAGACATCCAAGAAATTGGGATACCTGATCTAGAGAAAATTAATTTCCAGAAACTTCAAAAAAGATACCAGAAATGCCAAAATATAAAAGATCAATTGAGAAATAGATTTCGAAAAGAATATTTGGCAAATCTCGTTCAAAATTCACGAGAAAAGGCTCAAGTGATCCAGACGGCTGATGTAGTACTAATTGAACTAGACAACCGAAAGAGACTTAACTGGCCATTAAGCAAAGTCACCAAATTGTTTCCAAGTAGAGTTGGTTGTACACGCGTGGCAGAGGTAAAAACCTCTTCAGGAACTTTTGTACGACCGATTCGTAAACTTTGCCATTTGGAGATATCTAAGAACGATGACCCATTAATCCAGCTGATGAACTGTATGAACACTTTTCACAACTCAATTTTAGAACTTTAACTTTTTTTGCTTGAAATTTTCATAGACATTAGTTTTATTTCATTCTATTATTTTTGAGTAATGATTTAAATTTAATTTTAATGTTTAATTTCTGGCTTCCACCATAAATTAAAGGTGGGAGTATGTTAAATGTTCATGTAAAGTTTCTTTTCGTCGCTAGAGGACGCTAGAAGTTCCATTAGTGAGAGAAATTAAAACCTTCCTTTTTTTTTTTTTTTTTTTTTAAACAGTACATAGTTCGGTTTCGAATCCGTGTGATGGACGGATAAATTGTTTCGTACAGCCATAAAAGAAAAAGAGAGGCTGTACAAGAAAATGTATTTAAATCTTAATTTTTTCTTTTTGAATGTTTTATGTAAATAAATTGTGATGTCAAGAAAATTCAATTGTGGTTTTTCTGTAAAGAAGATTGCCAGCTGAAACATCACGTCAGATTCAACAATGCATCAGAACAGGTAAATGAATTTCCTTCTCGTTTTTTAAATCAATATAAATAGAACCTGCATACGTCAGTGGATTCTGACAACTTCGATCAACAGTAGTTGATTAATTACGTAATACAAACAGTCCGAACATCTGCCAAGAGTACGTGCTTCAAATACAGTCTTTGCTTGGAGAAGTACAGATTTGGGCAAACTGACTTGATTTTTCACGTCTTTAATTGAAAGTTACAAAATTTGTAAACGAAGAATTTTACTCGTAAAACGTTTTCGTAAAAATTATAAATATTTTTCATGACAGTTTTAAAAAATCTCGCAAAAGGCGAAAGATATGTCTAATTTTTTGAAAAATTTGTCTTTATTATAATTAGTTTATATTGATATAAAATACTATTATAGCACGATTTTGCAAATATTTGAGTCCACTTGATCGTATTGGTGTTATTGTATAAAGTGTTATGTATTATTTGATTTATTTATTTGTTTAATTATTGCATTTTAGGTAATCACTTTCGCATGTATTTTCGTGTAATTGAATTTGTGGCTATGTGTTTTGTACGGAAGAGCTTATTTTTTGTATAGAATTGTAGACCTTGTGATTCTGAATCCAACAATGCTTAAATTGAAAAAATAACTGAAGTAGAACCCGTGATATCTGCACAAACTATCCTGACGAGTCTTAACAAAAGGTATTTGTCGCTAAGTTGGCAAGTAGCCGATCAGGCAACTTTTCGGAAGTTTTTGAAAACGCATCTTCGGAGCTTTAGGAACGATTTAAATAAGAATAGGAATTTAAATAGGATTTATGAAATTTAAATACATTTATATACATGTGTGCGTATTACTATTTGTTACTGATGAATAATTAAATATATTTTGTCTAATAATTACGGTTTGCCCACCAGCGGCCGAGCGGTAAAGTCGCTGAACACTGGCAGTTCGGTCCGAGGTTTGAATCCCGCGAACGTGCTGCCTGCATGGGCGTTTTCCTGGTTTTCCCCATGTGTAACGTGTATGCGAACCAGTTTTCCTTAGAAAGTCCTCCACGAACCATCCCTTCTTTTAGGCAGATAGCCCTCGAGGTTTTGCCGTAATCATACACACACACACAATAATTAAAGTTTGGAAATTTAATATGGGAATGAACAGGAAACAATCAATATTTACAGCGGCTTATTTTACAGCATTTTTTTTAATCTTATAATTTCTTAAACCAGAAAGTATCCGTAAAAAAAGGTAAATGCAAGTTTTTGTCTTTGACAATACTGTTCATAAAAAAGAGATTGGTGAAAATACAGTACGTAAATATCATTCGTATTACTTAGCACCCAAACGTCATTTGCGTATAGTGACCGGTTACGAAAACGGTTTTTTTCATGTGTTCGCGTAATGGTAGGGTTTGCTAGTATGAAACAGCTGCTTAAAATATTATGTTTCTTCTTCTTGAAGTGCAGCAAAAGTGATAGGGAGCACTGACTGAAAAAAATATGTTGGAAATCACCAGTAATAAATTCAAAATAAAATGAAGAGATATATGCAAATTAAGATTTCATTTCATAAGATATTTAGTGAATCGAGCGTTTGAAGGGTCGAAAAAGAGCATTTTGAAATTTCGGAAAATCCAAAATAATGCAACATTGCCAAATATCATAATTCATTTTGCATATATTACCTGCATATCTATAGTGCAACACAGCTAATCTTTTTATCGCTGTTTATTTTTAGATAAGCGGATTCATATACTCCCCCCCCCCAAGAAATACTGAGAGTTCAAAGTTGAATGAACTTCCTTGTCCATTGCAGATCTTCGAATTTCTGTCTGAAGATTTGAAGACATGAGTTACATATCCCAAGTAACCAGCTACAGGTCAAAGAAATGGGATGATCTCGAGTGGGGAATCGGTCTCGAGCAATCCGTGAAGATTTCACGATCCACAAGCAAAAGTGAATGGCAATGGGGTGATTCCAAGAAAGTGAAGAAGCTAATTTCTCAGTTTTCTAAAGTTTCCAGTGCTCACGGAACGGCTTACATTTGCGATAATACTAACTCGACATCAAGATTCATGAAAATCGTCTACAGGTGAGTTCTATATCTTCTGAAAAGCTAAGCTATAAAAGAATTTTTCTCTTGAATTTCCGTGAACGTAATGAAATTAAGAAATAATACGGAATTAATAACTTAAATCAAGTAATTATCTCAGAAAATTAACCAGATGGAACCTATTAAATGACAGGTTTAAGTTAAACCTAATTTACTATTAAACTTCCCCTCTTTAACATTCTTCCGCTCCAGACGCATTTTTGTCTTCTCACTTAGCTAAAAGTCTAAACTCGAAGAG